CGCCCAGCTGCCCCAGCTGAAGATCTACAATAGTCTTACGAGGAGCAATGATGGTTTCGTCCCAGTCGACCCAGCAGGAAAGCTGGTGACCTGGTACGGATGTGGGCCGACAGTGTATGAAGATGCTCATCTGGGCCATGCCAAGAATTACGTCTCGACGGACATCATTCGTCGCATCATGGAGGACTACTTCGGCTGCTGAGGTCCTGCGAGCCCCGGGAAAGCTGCCAGAGTTTTTCGCCAAGACGGACGATATTTTACGCCCATATCTCGATGCCTTGCATGGCGCGGATGTCGATTCCAATAATCACAAGATATACCTCGAGTTGACCCAGACATTTGAACGACGCTTCTTCGAGGATATGAATGCGCTTAATGTACTGCCCCCCCGACCAACTGACTCGCGTGACCGAGTACGTCCCTCAAATTGTCCGCTTCGTTGAGAAGATTGTGGCAAATGGTTTCGGCTACGCTTGCTCTGATGGCTCCGTATATTTCGATATCGACTCGTTTGAGAAGGCTGGGCACAGCTAATCTCGGCTGGAACCATGGAACAAGAACGACCGTGTCCTCCAAGCGGATGGTGAAGGTTCACTATCCAAGGGAAAGTCAATGAAGCGGAACGAGAATGATTTTGCGCTGTGGAAAGCAAGCAAGCCAGGCGAGCCGGCGTGGCCGAGTCGATGGGGCCATGGGCGACCAGGATGGCATATCGAATGCTCCGCGATGGCCTCTGATGCGATCGGAAAGACGATAGATATCCATTCCGGAGGCATCGATCTTCGTTTCCCTCATCACGATAACGAGCTCGCACAATCGGAAGCTTATTGGTCCACTCCGGACTGCCATGTACAGTGGACAAATTACTTTATTCACATAGGGCAGCTGAGGTAAAAGACTTCAAATTCCGATTTCATTGTACTAAGACGCTAACATATCCTAGATTTCGCGGCTTGAAGATGAGCAAGAGCCTCAAGAATTACACGACTATTCGAGCTTTTCTCTCCCAAAAAGAGTGGAGTGCACGTTCTCTCCGAATTTGCTTCCTCCTCGTGCCTTGGCAGGATGGTATTGAGGTTACAGACGAGCTTATGAAGGCCACATTCGGCTGGGAAGGCAAGCTCAATAACTTCTTCCTGAAGAGCTTGGACCGTGAGAAACATCTCAACCCCAAGAATTCCAGAATACAAGAGCTTGGCGTTGAAGACCAGCAACTATTGAGTGCCCTGGATAAAGCGAAAGGCGATGTCGACACAGCTCTTTGCGATTCCTTCAATACCTCGGCAGTCATGAGAATCCTCTCTGATCTCGTTACTGAGTTTAACTCGGCAGAGGCACTTTCAGACCAGACAGCCATCTTGCTCGCCCAGTGGGTAACACGCATTGTCACTATATTTGGTCTAGATCCTGAGGGAGACCTACTCGCTTTATGTGACCAGCTCCGCGATGTACACCTTTGGAACCTTGGCATCTATCTAGAGGACCGCAACAACTCCCAGCCTGCTTTGGTACGACCTCTTGATAAATTGCTGATAGAGGCGCGAGCAGAGCAAGAAGCAGCTCACGCTGCCAAGGCAAAGGCAAAGCTGGAACAGGAGGCCAGGGAGGCTGAGAGAGACAGAGAGCTGCGCGAGCGCACCATGGTCGACCCCCTGCTGATGTTCAAAATCTCGGAATACTTGGAATGGGACAAAAACGGCATCCCGACCGTCGACGCGGCGGGGAACGTGGTATCCAAGAATAAGCTCAAGAAGCTGGTCAGAGAGTGGGAAAAACAGAAAAAGAGGCACGAGGAATGGCTGGTGATGCAGCAGACCGCATAGGAAAGGAGATTCGGAAAATGACAATGCTTACTTTGGCGAGCCGCCCATTGTTGGCAGTATGTCTATTCTCAAGTCAAGATGACCGATATGTTGAAAGATTGTTTGTTGATCGGAAGATGGCAATAAATGAGCGACCACTGAAGAGGTAACAAAGACAGAGAAAATACGTTCTGTAAGCAGGTAATTACGGCTACAGTGTTATACAATGCAGTAGCGAGCTCAGATTCCTGCGTCCAGGATGTTGAGTGCTTTTGTGATTCCACTCTTGTTTATCAAGTCCATATGTTGTTTAAGCAGCTTTTCATAGTCTCACACACACGCGCACACAACATCCTTAAACTCTCTCAACTTCCTTCAATATCTTTTATACTAGCCACAACATCAATTGAGGAGAGCGAGATTCAGGGAGGCTGTTTACAAGGGGGGGCTTGCCTGTATTAGGCAACTTGCCACCTTAGTAACACCAATTCAAGTGCTAGCTATTATGGTCCAACGGTTAAGACATCAGTTTGTGGAATTTCTACAAACCACTGAAGACCGAGGTTCGACTCCTCGTAATGGCACGAATTTCTTTTTGCTACGCTGCTTTCTTTTTATTTCCTTGTATGTCGTGGATATCCTGCCTGCTGTGAATGTTTTTATTTCTAGATTGCAGTATACTAAATGATGCAATATGACAATGGTATCTCTTTTTATATGACACGTTTTATGAAGCAGTTTGGTCAAAGTTTAAAGGCATCTAAAATATTAGTATACGATATGTACACATGCTTGTTCAGAATATGTAGATCATTGTATAGTTCTTGTTTATCAAGAGGACATGTCTACACTGTTCTTTGTATCAAGCAGTTTAAAATAGCGCAACGATTGAACAATGAGGTGGATTGATGTACACGTAGTATAGCACCATTACGACTCGATCGAATACAATTCGATGTCAATTTGAAAACTAACTAGTTGAATAATTTTCCCGTGCAGCCAAGGCTAAACGTTTAGAATTGAAGACCACCTAAGGGTAAAATTGTGTACAGCCAGAGCTATACCCACCCATCCATTCACCACTTAGATCAGATTGCTGCGTGCCAGCAGCAGCCAACACCAGCCGTTCCGACAGAGATCGATCCGAAAGAGCCACATGGCACTCCAATCTTAATATCGTTAAGGCCACTGCAAAAGTTCACAGCAGTTGCCTCACAAGTTCCGCCGAGCCATTCGCAAGGATTCTCGGGGAAGTGGTCGAGGCCGTTGAGGCTGGCGAGGCTGGCGAGGCTGTCGAGGCTGTCGAGGCTGCTGAGGCTGTCGATGCTGTTGAGGTTGTCGATTCTGTTGAGGCTGTTGAGGCTGCCGAGCAAACTGACGAGCCAGGTAACGGGCCAATTGTCGGGCCAGTTGTCGGACCAGTTGTCAGGCCAGTTGGTGGGCCAGTTGTCGCGCCAGTTGTCGCGCCAGTTGTCGGCGAAGTTAATGGCGGTGGCCTGGGATCCTGCAATAGAGTTAATATATCACAAGGGAACTGATTCCGCTTTACAATGGCGACGAACCGTAGACGGCAAAGCTGGAGATGTTAGTAACTGATTTTTTGAACCAATCCAGAAGGATGCTTACCCGAGAATAGCAGCGAAAGCGGAAGTACGCATGTTGAATGTTAACTTTGGTTTAATGGATGGCTTTTAGAAAGATGTGATTGAAACTGAATGATCAGAAGTGCTTGATGGTTCTGTTTGCAGCACTGGGGAGAGATCACGCATTTTATACCTGACGATTTAGCAGTCGTTTATTGAGAATAGACATTTGCTGATTTGAGCATCTCTGGAGGTAGGTGTCTTTCAATGCGGTAGAATTCCTGAAAAAGACCTCCGTTCCTGTCAATCAGTCAGATCAAGGTGTTTTTGACTTAAGGCATATGTTTATAATGCAACTTGTAAAGCCTACATACATCAATACTTATGTCCCGTAGCAGTATAACGTCACTGCTACCATTTCATGCTACGATGGTGAGACTATGCATATCCTAATCTGAGTAATATTATACCATAAAAGTCATTTTCATATCAGGTGAGGTCCTTCTTGACTCAGTACGATTATCCAATGGCAGCAGCTAATGGTTAGACTCTTAAGACATATAACAAATCCACGTGGGAGACGCATTCCACTGGATAAATGAGGAGGCTAGATTGAATCGACAGATCGAACTCGGAGCATTTACGGCTAAGATCGTTGCTGCAACCCCTTTTTTCAACAGTTTAGAAATGTAAACGTGCATGTGATTCTGCTTGTATATAGGCGCCATATGATTCAATGCCAAGAGGATTGAAGAGTAAACCCTATATAGGCCTAAAGTGGCACATGAATGTTGTACAAGGTTAATTGGCACAGTGCGCCTGTGAGATGCCACATAGGAAGGTTTGGTATGCTGTTGTTGCCAATGTAAACATCTTCCAAAAAGGGGTTCAATTTGCTGAATTAGTGTTACCTATTACGTAGTCAGGAGATGCTCACAGGAATGCACCGATAAGCTTTTTTACTGAACCTAGTGAAATTACAATTGAAACAGAGATACAGCACGTTTAATTGCTGAGAAGATTTATTCTATCATCACATTATGTCCACAGACTGCGTAACTAGACTTCATCTCGATATACAATAGCATGATGCATGGAAAAAGATGACGGAGATAGGAGCTCATAGTACCCATAATCCCTAAATCAGAAAAGCAGCAATGGATGAAATTAGCATGGAGAAATATATAAGATGGATTTCTCCATGAATTCTGTTCTTGCTAGTAGCGTCTCCTTGCTAACCTGTAATTTTGCTTACTTGGTCTGGGGGCCACCACTTAGCAGCCTTGGCAGCCAGCAGCTTGTTGTACTCTGGCAATACTAGTATGAAGATGTAAATAGAGCACGGATAGCTCTCCACTACTTATCTTGATCCTGGGGCATGAATCTCTTTGCCAGATTTAAGAAATTGCCCCTATGGGTTTATCTTCAACGCCGTTTGGTCCGCATAGCGAGATACGGATGTGGGTTTTGACCCGCCTCGGAGTCGACTTCTAGGCTCCGTTGCCACGGTGGTAATAGCTATGCTTCCGCTCTATCAAGGGTCAGCTCGTAAAAAGCCTATACAAATCTACTTGCAAAATGATGATATCTACAATTTGGGTGAAAGTTTTTGGCCAATACTAATTCAAAAATGGAAACTTCTTTAACAGGTTACTGATGGAGCGATGGCGCTGCTTTAGTATGGGTGGTTTCCACATGAGTCATCAGCTTTCTTAAGATATCAATCCGTCAACTATAACCGCTGAATCAGGCAACGCCAGGTAAAAAAAGCGCCGAATTGAAGCTTTGTCTCTCGGCACCCCAAAACTTGCACAATGGACACGTCGCTGGGACCACTCGCCGCATCAGTCGAGCCGGCCCTTCTCCCGCCAAGAACGCCTCTCCACGGCCGCTACACATCTGTCGTTCCGCTCCACCCTCAGCACTGGCGAGCGATTTACAAACATCTCGGAGGAGAGGAAAACGCCTGGCGCTGGAAATACCTGCCCCTGGAGGGCTTCCTCACCGAGGAGATATGCGAGGCGACGATCACGGCATGGTCTGCCACAAAGGATCCCATGTACTACGCGGTCCTTTCGGGCCCTGCTTCCGATCCCGCTTCAGAGCCAGCAGGCATCGTCTCGTACCAGGCAATTGTTCCAAATCACCGTAGAATTGAGATTGGATGGGTGATATTTGGGGATGCACTTAAACACTCTAGAGAGGGGACGGAAGCATTTTTTCTCTTCATGAAGCATGCATTTGTGGATCTGGGATATCTTCGTGTCGAGTGGAAGGCCAATAATCTCAATGCAGCGAGCTTGGCAGCAGCTCGGCGGCTGGGATTTACGTTTGAGGGAGTTTTCAGGTGAGACTTGAGATGACGATTTGCTGCAAACGGTTCCATTGTGGATATACTAATTGCTTGGCGAATATTCAGGAAGCACATGATTATAAAGGGCAGACACCGGGATTCGGCGTGGTTGAGCATCCTGGATGACGAATGGGCTGCTGCTCGGAAGGGATTCGAAGCATGGCTGGAAGAGTCCAACTTTGATGAGAATGGAAAGCAGAAGAAAGGGCTGAGCGAATGTAGAGATGACCTGCAGTAGTTGTTTCTCTGTAGACCCCGGATTGGTTGGATAGACGCTTCATAGACTAAAGGCACGCTGATCCCGAGATTTCTGCATCTGTGGCAATGGATGTTAGATGATATGACGTCGCGGCCTGACGTTGCAACGGCAGTAGCTGATGACACTAATGAGGCACAAGTTTTGGCCTTCAATAGGGCTGATGAGCTGTAAAAGTTCCCCGACGTGCTGTTAGCATGAACATGTATTTTTGCTGAGTTTGCAACATATTTTTAGGAATTGCCTGTAACTCAATGAAGGCGTTGCGGAGCAATGGAATGACCAGAGTCTAGAATCAATGTTTCCCCGGCACTAACACCTCAATTGTGTAGAGCTGAAGTTGCTATGGCGCTTTTCAATATGGCTTCTGGCGCCTTGTGGCCAAAGTTTGTCCGATGGCGACGAGCTCTGCGCCGGTTCCTCTGGCGCGGCCAAATCAATAGCTGGAGACATTTAGACGGACGCGCGTCTGAGAACAATTGACAGCTGATAATTCACAGCCAAGTACGAAGCTTGGTTTTGACATTGACGGATGTATAGATTTGAAGTTCATTGGCAGTTGTTGATAGATACAACTTCGTTTTGATGTAAAAAAATGTAAGTTGTTGCTAGTATTAGTAAATATCACATGAAGAGTTGCTGCTGTTGCTCTATATTACATGTGCTGGAACATCATGCTCATTGTACATGCCTGCCAATATACGGCTCATCAAAAGAGCCGAGACTAGGCTAGAGCTCATCTGCCAACTGCTAGAAAAAAAAGAAAATAACCACCAAAAGCCACTCGCTGATTGACCGAGCCTTGGAATGGGGCGTTGAGGGATGCAGCAGCCACCGCAAGGTGTCATTGGACGCCATGGCTGGGGCCAATGGAGCACCAAACGGCATCTCCGGTTCGCCTGAACTCGCAAGACGGCAGCAAAGACTTCTTCAAAAGCAGGAGCGCTGTAAGCAGACAAGAGCCAGGTGAGCGAAAAAACGTATTAGACGCGGACGGCCCAGAAATAGCTCGTACTCCATTACACGAACGGCTGGACGGCAGGAGATGCGATAAACACGAAAGCGAGGCTAATTCCCTGGCTTTTCCTTATTGTGTGGTCTCTTGCTCCTTGTTCGGCCCCCCCCTTTTAAAGACTTCCCTTTGCTCTGAGGATCCAAATTGCTCAAAAGAGAGTGATTCTGAAATGGAAGACTGATTCTCTTGCAGCCAAGCGAGAAAGTCAGGAGTAATAACCTTGGTGATGAGGATCCAAGTGCTGATCTCTCTCGCCGAGCGGATCGTCGGTGTAGCTCTCGCTCATCGCTCATCGTTGTCCATCTAATTCTTTTTACGTCTTCGATTATCGACCACTCATCTCCATTTCTATTTACCCGTCGAGTCGACTGTTTGGTTTCTAAGGCGCTTAACACAGCCTCACTCAACCTCTCTACCTAATCGACGCACTCTCTGCCTCCCATGGCGTCTACCCACAGCAACACAGCCTCAATAGAGGAACCACGGCGCGCTCCGTCAGAACCTATTGATGCGGCTGCAGGAGAGCGACAGACCCAGACATCGGCTGCTGGCACTGATGCCGTTTGTGCCGACAAAGCCTCCAATGCTTCCAGCATTACCAAGAATGGCGGCGATTCGGACGGCGTGCAGCAACAGCTGCCCCAGGAAGACAAACAGCGGCGGCATCCAGAAATACAGCAGCAGCAGCAGATTTATCACCGCGAGGGAGTTTCCACGCCTGTGTTTAATGAGAAATCCGACGCCTCCATTGCAACGCCTAAGACAGCCGTCTTGCCGCGTGCCACCACGTTCGGATCTACCCTCACCACATTAACCGCTGCCTCTTCCACCGGCCTCCTTTCCGCTCCTCCTGCATGCGACATTCCTGAATCGACGCCACCAGATCGCGTCGCCCTAGTCAGGGCCAAGAGGGGAGACGGCTACGTGCCTCAGAGCAACCAGTTGAAGAACGATCTCTACCGTGCTGTCGGTTTCCTGGAGCTGGCTAATGCAGGCGATTTTGCTGCCAATGTGTGGAACGAGTACCCCGTCCCGGTATATGCAACCGTCTTTATGGCGGTTGGAGCAACATTCGCCGGCGTCATGTCCGTCTATGCCCTTCTCGACTCACGGCGTGCCTTTCGGAATGTCAAGTTCCTTCGCAAGCAGCGTCGAGAGTTGAAGGAGGCGCGAGCTTGCAGAGCGGCAAAGTCACTGCCCACCAGAGATTTGGATGTCCTCTTGTCCGTCAACTTTCGCGAGCTTGGTACAGAAGGTGTCAACCGCTGGGCGCTCAACATGTTTATGGGCGTCGGTGCCGTGCTCATCTGCGTAGGCACGTATCTTGCCATTGCTGGAGCCAACAAGGGCATCTTCTTGGCCAGTAACCTGCTCTCTGGATACATCGGTAATGCCCCAATCGCCATCTTTGGCGCCACCAACTCTTGCTGGGCGTTCTACATCCTCTGCAAGGCCCAGGGGCACATCAACGCAGCTAAAAAGGCCATTCCGGGCACCCAATCCCTGGCTCTGATAAAGAGGCGCAGCAGGAACGTGCAGATTTATACTGGCATCAACGGCACTGCCACGATCTTAGGAGGAGTCGGCTCCATGATCACCGCAACACGGTGGTGGGGCTACGTGATACTAATACCCGTCATCTTGGCTTCGGTTTTCTGCAATTACTGGTGGCGTACCAGAGCTGGCTATTCTCGCAGAGATCTGGTGCCCTATGGATTGTCGATATTCAGCGTCGATGAGCTGTCTACAGCCTTGGAGTTTGCTGCAAGAGCAGAAGCTAAGATCAAAGAGCAAAAGAAGACACCGATCAACTCATTTGTTTCGGATCCATCGTCTCTGCGGTCCGTACTTACATTTATACAAGAACAGGAATTACTTGAACCTTTTTGCCTACGGCTTGTTCAAGATGCAGGCTTACGAACGACAATCGGTTGTCCCAATAGTCCTGCAGAAATCGAAATCACCGTCGATTCTCTCCTGAATCTGCCCAAAGAGTCTCACCCGGCCATCATTCAGATCGCTCAGGACACAGTTCGAAAGATCGGATCGAATCACTTTAAATATCGAGAGCGCTACGCGGCTGAACTGCTTGGCACATACCTTGCTATTTCACGGCAAGAAGCGAAAAAAAGAGACAAGAAAAAATCTCAGTCTGAGAAGCCTACTCGGCGATGAGGAATATAATAGGAACGGATATATTTGTTTTGGGTATAATAGTTGATGCATTGAAAGCAAGCGAGCGAGTCGCCATGACTATCTGAGTATTATTTTCCTTTTCTTAAGAAGCATATATCGGCGCAGATACAGGATTTTAAACAAGCATAAAAATTAATGCATGGTGGCGTTGGTATTGTTCAAATACTGGAAAGAACAATATGAAACTATCTGGCTATCTTGGATATTAGCCATTTTATTCCCGTGGGTCTCAATTTGTACGAGGTTGGCTGAGTCTATGCCGCTATTGCGTTCTGAAGTTGTTAAGTTGGGACTTTTAGATACAGAGAACTGCTTTATGAACTGGACTGTGTTATAGATCAAAGGGTATCGTCCGATTTCGTATTAGTAGAAATGAAATGAACTAAAGTATTTGCTTCGCCCTATGGTGCCTTTGTTCTATACTCTTCGAATAGGAATTCTCTCCTCTAGTTATTCAATATGTAGAGGCCCGTTACCATCACCGAAAAGTTCATCATACCACGGTGTGCGTCCTTTCTGGCAAACGCCGTCCCAGTCTATAGGCGTCAGTTTGGCAGGCTTGTCAGCAGTCGCCGACTCAAACACGGTCACTTGCTTGACGTGACTCTGCATGCCTGGTGGCCAATACGTTACGTCTGCTTTTCCCTCTTGCCGAGAGGGCATATTCAGAAGTGGCCGTATTGTCCCGAGGCTCTGCAAGTGCGCGGTTACTAGTTCTCGGAGTAGAGGATAGAACCACATCTTGCTCCACCACTGCTTTAAGCGTTTTGGCTTGAGGCCATCGATGTACGCGTTGTGGTGGATGCCCACTGGGGTGACGCCGAAGAAGAGATCTGTATAGAGGGGGACGTTGCCCCATAGGATGTTTGAGAGAAGACCCTTTTCGGTGTTTGCTTGGTTTGTGAGTTCTTCGGGGAGAGTGGTTGTGCGCGGACCGTTGGGAACGCCGGCTTTGAGGGATGCTTCCCGCATGGCGTTTTCATCGCTGAATTTGATGAAGCTGCCGTCTTCTTCGGAGGAGCAAGTCGCCGGGATAGTGGTGAAATTGTAATCGAGTCCAATGCCGAACTCGAACTGTTCACCTGTAAGCGCTTTTGCGGCAATGATGCGCATTTCTGGGCTGAGAGTTGAAAAATCGTATTTCGACATGGTGCCGTCCCATGTGGTTTCCAGCTCTCTCATCCATTCACGCCACATTTCTTGCTCGCCGACGACTTCTGCAAGGAGTGCTTGGTCGCTCCATAGCTGGCGGCCGCTGCGGGCAACGGTCTCGATTTTGCGTTTGCAGCGCCTGAGGGTTTGGCGAAGAGCACCCATGGTGCCCATGATCATGCCGCTGTTGATGCAGCGAGGCCGGATATTTCTGTATTTGCGCGCTGGGTCGAATAGCAGTGGTAGTACTTGATCGGTGCCTTCTCCATACATGTCACTCGGCATGGGCGATGGAGGCCAGTGAGCGTAATGGGGGTCTGAGCCGGATTCCCAGTCTGGTTGGCAGTCCTTGGCGGTGGTGACAATGATTGACTGCTCTGGGGGAGACATTGGGAAGTCAGAACTTGAATTCTGCTGCGCTCTTTGCCATTCTCGTTGTATCCTCTCATTAGCCTGGTTATTGAGCCGATGATATCGCTCAATAAGCACCGATGGGGGCATCTGGAACCATATATCGTATGCGTCGACAAGAACAGCCAGATCATGCTCGTCCGCACCGCCATCTAGATCGGTCTGTCCCAAGAGCTCTTCAATGACAGAGAGCAAGCTCTCAAGTTTTGCAATGTGGCTTCCTGCAAAGTGCCATTCGGGGTGGTTGAACTCGCCGCTCCAGTTCAATAGGGTCGGCAGTGGATAGCCTAGAGCTACTGCTGACATGACACTTTTGCAAAGGTTAATGTGAGGCGAATCGGCTGGCATGAAGATTCGTAGCCGCCGCTCACCACCGGAGTCTCTAGAGGGGACCGGGCCGAGGGCTTCAATGACTTGTCGCCCAATGACACCGGAAGATGGTGCTCTGTCTTCAGGAGAGGGACCATATCGCATATGGTTGGATGCAGACTGAGTACTCATTAGTTTCATTCGAAGAAGCGAAAGATAAAGGCCAGAATTTTTCTTCACATACCAAAGCTGAGAAGAATAGGCTAATAGTTAAGGCTATTAAAAATATGATCTGCCATATCACGCCCTGGCATATGAGCTGCGAGCATCGTCGTAAGCCAGTGGCCCTGGTGGCCATGGCCTGGTGTTCATAGTTTGGTAGGATCCGATTATCCGTTTTAGAAATCGACTGGTCTAAAAAGCTGGCAAAATATCCTGGAGGCGCACGTTTCATGTTTCTTTTACTGGAACTGGAGCAGAACAGCCTTTGTTGAATGAAGCGAGGGGCATATGGCGTTATCACCACGAATCGCTATAAAGATAAAAGCCACCGCGCATCTCTTTGGCGATAGTCTTGTTCTTTCGAGAACGCGAGAAGAAAAGGGGATTAAGCGATCGATTTTCTTTTTTTTTTGTTCCCGACAAGTCTTACCGATGATCCGGAGAGTTCTTACCGCTGATCGCAGGTCTGAGTCTCATAGCCCGTAGCAAACGTGGGTCTTGCGCTCCAGTAAAAAGGCCAAATCAAGAAGCGATTGGCATCTCCATCGAGTGGATGAGAAGAGGCAACAAGAAGAAAAAAAAGACTACGCGTCACCATCGTTTCTCCTTTTTCTTTTTTATCTTTTGTTCTTTTAAAAAGGGATACGGTTCCTTATCTCTCCGATTTAAAGTCTCTGAATTTTTTTTTTGGTCATTTCTTCAATCCTGTGTCTGCGGTATCGAGTCAGGTGAACCTGGGTATAAACTGGCGTGCTACCACGTGGGCGGGACTTAACTTCTAAGGGGTCAACCTCAAACCACACAACGTCACTCCTTTTCAATTGGTATGTGCCTCATACGATCCAAAGAGTTGCTGCATCTCAGCGCAGCTTAGTTGCCGAAGTGATCAATACAAGATCATCAAGAGATACACGGCAGTTCTTGATCTCAACTCCATTCGCCATCTGAGGCTGGAGCATATTCTTCCTTCGCAGGCCGACGATTGATCTCGAACTATAATGCTATTGGTAGGGAATTGAAACAGCAATTCATGGGAGCAAACAAAAATATACTGGACATGCGACGACCTTGATTAGCTGCAGCCTCATCGCCAAATCTGTTAATACGACTCACTTCGATTTTGCACCTTCAGTATCCAGTATGCCTGAAGCGAAACCTATCATTCAAAAGCCCGTGCCCATATCATCTGCTAGATATAATCTACGGGTCTTCTCTGCGTTTGGAATTGTTGGTAAGTGTTTTGCCGATGGAGGCACCACCTCATACAAGTGTCATATCAAGCGCTGTTTCCATAAGCTAATATCCATCAACCGATAGGCTTTGCAAACACTCTTTTGCCCCATATCATCTTCTCTGGCCTTTATCTCATCATCCCATTTCCTCGGCCTATTGTATTGATCATAGAGCTTCTTCCAGCTCTCGCCATTGAACTTTTCTTTCCACACGCCTTGCATTATGTACCGCACTGGGCTTGGCCAGTTCTTGTTGCAAATTGTTGGGTCTTGGCTGCAATCGTCACCAATGCCTCGCCTCCAAATGTCATAGCGCCCATCCACACCCTTATTACGATACTTGCATCGGCAAGTGCTGCTACTGGAAGAGTCTTCTTCTCGAGCCAGCTATCCTTTTACGGCAAGACGGCTTTGGCTGGATGGGGAACCGGCATCGCAGCTGGGAGTGTACTGCGCGATATACTGCCAACAGTTTTAACGCTTTACACGAATATGGTGTTGCGAGACTGCATAGGTTATGCCTACTGCTTACTTTTGACCATAGTGGCCGCATACTTCCTACTCTTGCCTTCGCCTCCTATGCAATACGAATTAGAAAACTCGAAAGCTGGAGGAGAGTTCACATCTGAGATTGAGGAACAGAAGCTCTCGCTCCTTTCTAGAGACTTGTCTTCTACAAATATGAAGTTTGGGGTACGCTTCCATCGCAATATGTATCTTTTGGGCAACAAGCTCTTTCGGCTCTGTATAAACCCTCTTCTCCTTGTTACCGCAGTACAGGCCCTCGTGTCTCCGGGGACAACGCGCGCCAGCATCATGCTACCCGTTTTTTCACGCTATTCAGCATTTTCAACCGCACATGGCCTCACATTCCAGCTTGGGAATCTCCTGGCTCGCTCAACCGCTCTTCTATTCCGCAATAGGAGACCAAGACTCATCTTTGCCTTGTTAGTCTTTTGCACTGCTGCTGCTGTTCTCAACACCGCGTTTCTTTTGACTTCAAATGCGTATCTCTTGTTTGGCAGCCTATTTACCATCGGCTGGCTAGGCGGAATGACGTATATGAACATATTTGGAGCAGCTATGGACTATCTGACCCGACATTCGGAAAACGATGCGGAGTTTGCTGTTGGAAGTATTGGGATTGGAGAAACGGCGGGAATTTTGATCGGATCTCTGGCTGGAGTCACGTTTGATACGCAGCTCTGTGGGCTGGCGAAACGAAGTGGGCGATGGTGTTCCGCCCTTCCATAAATCTTGCCATGTATTATATGATCTTTTCTTGTTTTTAGCGTACCAGTTATAGGCACAATATCTGAGCTGTACTTATATTTATACTCAAAATGAAATTTTCCTCGTTGTCACTTCACGACCTCCAATGGAGTCAAAACGCAGAGAATGCGCGCACTACCACCAATGCCGGGATTGAGCTAATGCGCCATCCGACATAAGATTCGCATAATTACATCTCGCCTCAATGTTTTATATGCCTCCTGACTTCGATATTTGTTGCACTTTGTCGGGAATTTACGTCCCATTGCAGCGAAGACTAAGGTGACCATTTCGCGGAACGACTGGCTCCGCTACTCGTGCTATTATTGGCCCAATTGTCAGGCTGATTGCCTAATTCAGTAATCTCTCATTCGGGCAACTAATATCACAGACTTTCTTGCGGCCTTCCCTATGCCATTATATGTAGATAGCTAGCGAGTATTTGAGCTTAATGATAGTACTCAAAGACAGTAGTATACTTCGACTAGACGATATATTCACAGTTACCCCGTAGAACACGATCAGTAGACTCTAACCGCTCCAGACTTTGTTTCGTCATAGCAGTCCTCTTCGGTACGCATGACAAACTTAGCACGGCCTCTGTCAATCACTCACCCTCATAGTAGTATAACCTAGTTCTCATATCTAAATGAAATCTTCATCGAGATATATTCCGGCTCGGCTATGCGCGTCAACCTCAAATCACGCCGTTGTCAGTCGACCCGATTTGTTATTCCGATGAATGTTCAGCTCTGCTACATATGCGCTAGAGCCAAGGAAATGAATCCACAATCTGCATAATACTATCGTTTACGCATACAATAGCGCATTGAGAAATCAATGGTAGCAGCCAATTTGACTCTCTTCGGAGCATCTTGTCCTAACGTCGCTCATTCGTTAATATAGGCCATTTCTCCAAGTTCGCGTCATGTAATATCCGATTACGTGCTTGTAATCTTGCCCCCAAATTCCAAGATACGCCACTAGGTCTATTTCGCCTTAAAATTGTGCCCCGACACGAGACTATCCCACAAATACACACATGCAGCCTACATATGCACCCTCCATACCCCTCAAGTTGTGTTAATTCTTGTAGCATACAATAAGAATAGGAAATCTGTAGTTTAAGATGTAGAAGTTCACGAAAATATACTAAGAATTTTACTTCTTTTCTTATAATATCTAACAGTTGACATATGAATGTTAAAGGGCTCGAAAAATCCATATTGTTGACTTGTCGAAATATCTGTTCGTTGAAGAAAAAATTGGCAGAAATGACAAAGCCTACCCAGAGATAATAGTAAAGATCATGAAACCAAAACAACACATTGCAAGCCAATACCATCATTCTCACTCTTGGATACCCTAAACATATACCATGTGAATCATTATCGAATGAGATGTTGCGCCGCAGGGGGCCAAACATCTCGTTATGCAGTTGAGCTAAACCTCGCAAGAACAAGTCACTCCACAGTTTCCAAGTCATGCTCGTAGTCATCTTCATGGACATCTGAATCTTCCACCGGTGGCGTCCCTGCACCAGCCCTCTCGCGCATTGCGCTCAACTCCGCTCGGATATCCAGAAGGATTTCGTTTTGTCGCCGTATCAGCCCGGCTAGAGCATTTGTGCTCACAGCGGAGGCGGCGTCTGCAGTCGAGGCAGATGACGGCGGAGCTCTTCGTTTGGCTTCTCGGCGAGCAAGCAAGTTATATCTGGCGGCCAGATCGTCATATTCAGGAACCTATTAGGGAGCAACGCGAGAATCGTTAGCGGCCAAAACAGAGCAAAGGGTAGAGGATTAGACACTGTTGTTGCAAACATCGCCCCGTAATTGCCGGCCCAATAGGCAACTGACTTTCCCATATGCACACCATCGATGATTATAAAGAGAGAGAGAGAGAGAGGGCGTCGCGAAATCGATTCCGTAAGTAAAACACTGACCTCCTCGCCCCGGGACACTTTGAGAGAAGCAGCAGCAACGGCGCGCGCTGCAGGCTTGATTTTGCCATCTCTGTCTACAAGCAACTATGTACAAGATGTGCTCAGCAGGAGTTTTATAAACAATCGCAGGATACTGTTGGGGGCAATCTGATAGTAAGAGTACCAAATGCTGACAGCGGCAGCAATGACTAGAGGGGCCACATACGTCCTCGCACCTGTGGTGGCCAGCGACACAGTGAGAACATTTTGCACTATTCTCTACGATGCACCAGCCCGATGAAGATTCATGTCAGCTGTATTATTTCTTTGCCACGAGAGGTATGCAAAAGATCCGTAGCGAGATGTCAACATGATGAAGGTGCTGTCTGCGTAGGGCATGGAGAAGAGAGTAAAGAGCAAAGAGAAAAGAACGAACCACCTTGCCCACGGCAGATGTGACCGGGATTCTTCACCATTCTTCCAGCGCATGGTCGACAAGGGGTGGCCCAGATTGGGCCCTTTTTCTTTCCGAAATCTAGAATTAGTGATTACATGCCAAGTGGAAGAACTCATTTCTCAACGAAGCCAAGGTACAGAAACAGGAAAAGGGAATCTCACAGCAGGGGGCTCAGGCGAGGCGTTGGAAGTTTTCCGGCGCGGCATCTATTGCAGCACGATCAGTTACCAGTTTCTCAGGCGTTGCCCTAAGATGCTAGAACACTGCTTGTCAGACAGGAAATAGGCACGCAGCTCACAACTAGCCGCGATCAGTGGCGAGAAGTTCGCCGTAAGGAATGATATGTTCCGACTTGGTGCCACACCTCTTTTGCATGCACGCCGTCGGGGTTTCTTTCTTCGTGGCTTGCGATCAAACTAGTGTGTCGAAGCAGTAGCAAGTTAGAGGATATCGAAAGGTCTGGCAGTAATGGCCAACAATAGCCAAATGACTCGCGCAACGGGAGGCGACTATGGCAATATATGCCTGCAGGCAGCAATTTTATTTTCTCGGTTCTTCGATACTTTCAGAAATTTCGATTGAACTTTGAAAAAATTATGTAATATGGTGACTGTTTAAGATGATTCAAGGTCCCCAAAACTTAGAGGGAGCCACAGATTATGTGACGTTGGGTGAACACGGACGAAACGCGAGCCAATCTTGTGAGATAAGCCGCTATGTCAAAAGTTGGACTCTCTCGCACCTCATTTCCGGTACTATAATTTTTTTCGCCTTTGGTAAAGAAAGACACACCAGTCAGTCGAAAAGCACCTATACTCAAGCCTTCAATCCTATACCGTATAGCGAGTTTCCAGCTTGAACGATACAGCCGTTGCTGATACCGGTATGGGCGTTCTCGGTATCCTTTCGTCTTAGTCGTGGCGGGTGCGCAACGGATGACGAAAAAGAGGGTGTGATAGACAGTAAGTGTGATTACCCGTAGCCCCCCAGATGCATGCCGTTACAGAGGAAGTAAAGTCGTCGTCTTGCAAACTCCAATAAGACTTCTAAGCAGGACACCACCCTTCAACATGGATGTTACAAGATTCAGTATGGGGCGCTCCAGTCTCGTTAATCCAGCCAACCAGCAAAGCTGAGCAGCGACTGCAGTGTGTAGAGCGTAGAGTCGAACCTTGACTGGACACTCAGTTCAGCGCAGCTATATCTACTGTCCAATTGCAGAGAAAGTTGAAGCTAACTTCTGAAACAAATGATGTGTCGTTTGAAGAGCAAGAAAGCAACTTGAAATGACAGTATACTTATAGAAGAAGGGACAGGACAACCTAGGTGAGTCAAGTAAGGGGGAAGAGGAGCAAGCCACCATAATAGACAAACGGCGTTAGCAAGGTAAGCACTCTTAACGCAATCGGACTCCTTCACGAACAATTCAACTGGCAGCTTGGCTTAGTAGTAGTTGTTGACTTAGGTGAGACCATTGCAAGGTCATTGGAAGGGAGTGACGCACGAGCCGACATCGCAAAGCGGCAACAAAGCTAGGATGCCAGCTATACCATGCATTTATTACGTATTAGTACATTCATATGACTCCATTAGACTTCCATCGAACATAGAAGATGGCTGACTCCTTCTGCCTTTATTGGGCCTTTTTCCCGAGCATTCTCTCCCAAGACATAATATATGCGAACTTCTACACTACCATATCGTTTCTTCAAAGCAAGGGATGGGATAGAAGGAACAAACATGCATTTCTTTTTTTGAATACCTTAGCAATGAATAAACAGAGTGAAAATAGAAGATTCATTCTAATACAGATGCTCTTTCAGCTTGAGCGACGGTAGCATATTGCCCGCCTCCGGTTTGAAAGTGTCTTACATAGCGTAGCGCTAGCATTCAAGTTTCTCCCAACGCGGTCTCCCACCATACTAGTTTACGCACGCAGAGCAGTGACGCCTTACCATCTTCTCGCTTAACGGTTGTTCTGTAGTGAAAATGCATATCGGTGGCTGGGTGCTGAGTGCGGAGTTGGTTCCCCAGGTGACGTTGTGCAGATTACAGCATCACGACATCCAGACAGTCCTGCGATATTACTGAAACCCCGATTATAACTGGGGACTTGCTTCAAGGGCCAAATGTTACCGTCAAAATCTCGACTGTTTCTGTGATAAGAAAAGCATAGGATTACGCCACCTGCTTAGGCCCCCACTGCTTGTAGTAAGACATACTCGTAGTAGTTCAATTCTTGTTGATATGTCAATATTACAGAGTAAAGCTAGCTGGTAAATCATGCTATTACCTGGTAGCATAAATTCATAATTTTCTCTCCGATGAATACATTCTTCGTAATGCAATCGGAGCAAACTCAGGTAGTAAGCAGCGTAAAGTGCTCATGGGCTAGGTGAATTAAATGGGGGGTGGTCCGAATGGGAGAAATGTTTATTAGTGCAATGTGCGCCTTTCAAAAACATACGAAAGACAAAAGGCCAATTACCCTTTATATCGATCTTTTTGGGTAACATCTGCTTCCGACTATAAAGCAGGCTGACTCTTTTGCCCAACAGGCAGTTTCACTACTCGTCAAGATGGATGGCGGAGCATAAATTCCAGCCGCTGTAATTATTCTTCTGGGAAAAAGAAGAGGTCAACCCGGTCAACTAATAGACCTAGAGGCCTTGGGGAGATCACTAGTTTGCCCTGGTGGCCTCTAATATCTGTAGGGAGAGCAGTCTAGCAGCGAAATATGCAAGGGGTGTGGGGCCAAGGCGCTCCTTGCAGAAATGAGGCACTGAGTGAAGTCTACGTGTTTAGGATGTGAAGGTACTAAGTCTCACGAAGCATCTTTGTACCCAGCGTAGAAGCTACTTGAAGAGATAGAGATTTGGTGTCCGGCATTACTGTATTTTTAGTAAGCCCTGGTCTCTCGGCTCACCCGCTGCCTTGGGAGAAGACGTCTCTGAGAGAGACAAACAGCATCGATGTGTATCTTCTATTAAACCTCAATGGCTCATGATGTAGGGGCTAAGCGAGCACCGAAACGGCAGGCTAGCTGTCTGAGAGCCGGTCTGGACGATTTCCACTCGTGGCTGCAGCTGTGCAGTGGCATCAGATGCGGTAAGCCGAGTCAATGTAAATGTAGCTGTAGTGAGGGTCATTCATTCCATCTTCATCTTCTGCCCATGAGCAAAAGAGGCCTGTTTGTAATATTGACTGAACACTGAACCACAGCGTCTGTAAAGTACGTGGTGTGCAGGATCTACGAACGGAGCTGGTGCTACAAGTTAAAACTATCACCCAGTGCAACGGAGGTTGTGGCTTGTGCTAATGTCCAATACTGGGATTATGCTTGACATGCCACGGCGGCTAAAGTCGAATGAAAAGAAGGGCGTAGAGCAACATCATTAAGCTGGCATACTTCTGATCGTAGTATGGGTAGGACATAATTGTGGAATGTGTTTGTTGGCCAACCGACGACTTGCTTTGTACTAACACAAAGGCTGAGTTACCACTCTGTACGAAGTATATGATCTGTACTCGGCTCAAAGTAGGCATCACAAGTGGTAGCCTTTGCTTGGCGGCTATCTTTTGCCTCCATAGGGCAAGCCGCGTATTTCCGCTCCATGATTGCGGAAAAGAGTGAAATAAGGATATCACCCCGGATTGTGACCGTTTCTAACCGTGGCTGGTTTTGACTCATGCAGAATGGCGGTTCTGTTTGATGGGGCCAGCTTCAGACCTCGGCGACCACAAAAGTTGATCAAAAAATAGTCCGAGACTTGCGTATCTCATATTTGATATGTGATATATCTGGCATCCAGCATCTAACAAACGGAGTTTAATTGAGCATTAGATCCATTTATATCTGCAATTCCTTGCCTTTGATCTTTTCTTGCTCCTTCCTATGATTGCTTGACCCGAAAGAGTCACGGCCACAATGCAGAGGAACAGCACAAGGTACAGAGTACAAATACATCCATATAAATTTGGCAAAGTATGGAATACAGGGTATAAGTCAGTAATACAGCCCCTCCATGTTATATCTGCCAGCATAAGCACGAGTTGTTGGCATTTTCCTTCGCCAAATGGTCCACTGTGGGAAACGCTAAGTGCCGCCTGATGCTGTTTGATCCTAGTTTTGTGCGATTCCGCTTGCCACTTCAACCAGATCAAATTTCAGATTGATACTTATTTCAGTGTCAGGTGCCATGTGTCTCTCTTATCTTGAGGTGTACACTTGGTCTTCAAATGAAGGAGGATCATCATATCGTCATCTTTAGATTGCTTGCAAAGTGGGACGGCTCAAAGTTTTGGGTCATCTTGGAGCTACTGAAGCATGTGGCATGGAGGATTAATAGTAACAATCGCAGCCCAGTTGTGCAAGCATAACAGTCCTCTGCTTGTGTAGCACAGAAGGCGTAGGATGTGGCGCACTGGGTGGATTCAGGCTTTCCGAAGATCGCGAGAAATGAGATGCGCCACCCCATATGGGTTACAGGCGGCAAATCAACATTGTGCTCCCGGGAACAGCCATCAAACCCCGCAGAGGATCGCGGATAGCTACAATTGGCTGTAGCTACATGTACTGACACATCAGAATACAAGTAGATAAATGCCTGGTAGGTGGTGATTCTTCGTTCAGACAAGTAGCCCATCTCCCTGAGCTTACCTTCCCTTGACCTTGATATTTATTTTGTAAACAGATATATATACTAGACTAATCACACTTGAAGTCATCCATCTATCCATGCAGCCATACTCGCCTTGGGTGTTGCTCATTTATGAACAACCTTGGTCGCACAGCATGCTGCATACAAG